ATTCAGCTGTCTTAACCCCTCGACCACTGACAAGGTCCTAATTTACAAGCACAAAGTATTGTAGCAAACGACTTTACAGCGGAGTGTCAGTAGTGTTAGTAGGCCAGGAAGTTGTGACCCTATGCGCTAATAAGATCTTTCAAGCAATACCTAAAGCTAAGTTACTATTAAATTTGAATTTAATTTATTCAGTCGTGCAGCTTTTAACTTACGTCATTCAACTTTGAACCCATGTTGCGCCATTCAACTTTTAACTCATATTACGCCATTCAACTTTGAACCCGTGTTACCCCATTCAACTTTTATCTTATATAGAAGGAGTTAGGTATTTATACAAACACTTAATAAATGGTTTATGCATAATGAGCTAGCTTCATATTCAGTTCGTTGATTCTGGCTGTTCATTTTTGAGTCACTGCCTGAAAAATACTTTCGTCTGGTAAAAATCTATAGTTTTCCTTGTTTTTATCACTTCACATCATCTTTGTGTTTTGTTTTCCGTAGGAGTTTTAAACCCTTGCAAATAAAACGTAATTTGAACGACTTGATTCTATCTCCCCCTTCATTGACAGAAACCTTTTTACTTCCGATAACATAGATTGCAGTTTTCCAGCCATTAGTGTTAAGCTTTTAACTTCATAGCAATCAACCTGCTCACGTATTTAGTTCGCTCCCTCTAAATAAGCCACTAGATTTTTATTTTCTGTGAGTGAGATCCTAATATAAGAATTCTTCCTTAATTCGATGAGGGCGTAATGCGTGCAATAAATAATGGGGATTTCAGTGTAATTCAAAAGAGGTTAATTACATATATACAAATTATAACAAATTAATGTCTATAGTTATAAAGATTCATGGCAAACGTTTACTAATGTAATATCAAACTAATTCATTTTACACGTTAGTTCTATTCATGCTTTATTCATATTCCATTGCTACTGCAAAACCGTTGCTATAAAACTCATTTACATCGTTAGATTTTATAATGTCAAACATACCTGGTGAAAATAATCTAAGCTCTTTAACGCATTTTGGCGCCAAAAATGTTTTAGTAATGATGTTAATTAATATTTAAAAGGATTTATTGAAAAGATTTTAAAATTTTTTTCCTGGTTGAGTATGTTGATTTTTCTCTTTATAACGTGTGAGAAATTTGAAAATTATTCGAGCTACCTTTAAAAGATCAAGCGCTAATATTATTTCCCTAAGAACTACGGTATGGTCTAAGTACTATAATATTTTGATGTAAAGTTATAATATGTCAGAAGCATAAAAAATATTTCTGGAGGCGGAAGAAAATGGTTTTTTTTTTTAAATATCACCGATTCTCATGTGTTCCAAAACAAAAGAGTGCAGGATAATATTCTGCATTTCGATATCTTTTGTGATATTACTTAAAATGAATGCTAATTTTTCGCTAAGCAAATTGAATTCTTAGCTTACTTAAATGTTTCATTTCCCAACTTTTTCCAAACTGAATCATAGCAACTAGCATTTGAATTCAGATTCAGAGACCAAAATACTTAATTCAGATTTCTACATTTTAAGCTAATCTGATTAATAGAAGGGAACAATAACAATAATAATTTTCGGTTCTTAATAACAAGAACATTCATGAAGCATAATTTTTAAATTGCTTCATCGTGCATGTTCAAACAAGCCACGGATTTTTATTATTTGTAAGTTGTTTGTTCAAATCTATTAAGCTTTAGAATATTAGCATAATTAGCTAAAAACTGGGTTTAATTTTATCTACAAAAATGTTTTAATATTCTTTTTAAACTCTAGTGTAGATTCATGTAATGTTTCCTTTAAAAAATTATGTATGCTTACACATTTTATAAACTTGGCATTATACTAGCACATGCTAATTACATTCTGGTATAAATTATTTATAAGTGAATCCATGTATATGTAAAACTAGCACTTCTAATAATTGCACTAATATGATTCCTATTACTTTTATCGTATCGTTTGGTAGGAGTGTTTTTAATTTCGAATTTGATTAAATAAATTATTTTTATCAATATAATTTTTATTTCCAAGCATCTTCGCATTTTAAGATATCTAAGGTTTTTCCCAAAAAAAATTAATCAATAAGAAAATTAAAATAAGAATCTTATCAGTGTGCGATACATAAATATTCGAAAAATCACGGTTTTTATGAAACAATGGATATCGATGAAAATATATTGTAATTTTGCAAAACTTACTGCAAAATTCAAATATTTAGTGTCAGGAGAAAAGTTTATTGTACGTAAAATAGAAAACTTCAATATTTTATTCAAATTAATTAGTTTACAGCAATAAATTTACTACAAATCTATTCTAAGGAAGAATTTATTCTATATGTAACTCATCAAGATTAAAACTTTCATTCATAATTCCAAAAATAATCCTATTCTGTAAAAATTATATAAAATATTTTTGCCGGTGAAACCATCCAAAGACGGTAATAAAATATTGCTTATTTTGACCCCTGCAATCATTTCAATACCCATAATTCATGAATATAATAAATTTATTCGTGATAGGATAATATTCCTAAAATAACCCAAAATTGTAATAGTTAATGAATAAAATAAACGATCTTTGTCTTGTACGAAAAAAGGTCTCCATGATACTTTTATTTAAAATATGTAAGTGAAGTTATAAAATCATCTACAAATTATCTATCTGAATTACAGCACTGGAGTAACAATTAGTTTAGTCTGATAAAATACATAATTACAAAAATATCTGATGATTAATAAATAATCTGATATTGAATTACGCGATAAAATGTATTTTTTGTTTTTACCTTTAATTTAACCTTTCAAATGTTTCTAGCAATGTTTATATTAATAAATTTAAAACTTGTATCTTCAGCTGTAAAAGTTAAAATTTTTATCGCCAACATGCAGAAGTGAAAACAGGAAATATAGCTCCTTCCAAAACTTATCTGTACGCCTAATAGTTTAGAATTTTAAGGCATTCAAACTCTTTTATTACGTAATAGGCTTTATTAAATTAAATTATAAATTGATAAAATCTAAATATTCATTAATTTACATACGGTAGAAATGTACACTTTTATACAGTTTATACCACAATCGCATTGAGTAATTGTTTTAAAATGCATTAATAATTCTTATAATTATGAATGCTTTGTTAAAATAGTAGTTAGGATTTGATTCCGACTAAGCAATCATGCTTCTACTAAAGCCCTCCTATTGTTCCTCAAATTTAAACTGAAATAATTAATAAAATATAGATTATACACTCACAACGCAAAAGTCCCTAATCTCTCAGTATTTTAAAGTACTATCAAACTATTTTCCTTTTTTAAAAAAAAGAGAATGCAAGCTCTTAATAATGAACTTCAGAAAATTTCCTTACTGTCATAAATATATTAAATGCAAAGTTTTTTTTTCCTAACTTATCTATATCTTAAGTAGTTTGCAGAAAAACTGTGTGAATTATAATTTATTCAAATGTATTGATATATAATACAGATGCATTCAAAGTAAATTTAACAACTGAAACTAATATCTGAAAATCTTATCTTTAACCTTTCCAAACGCTTAAATCTTGATCAATGTGTTTGCAAAATAAAAAGGGCATTTTTTTCATTGGTTTCAAGTAACTGATGTATAAATACTGAAAATATTTTTTATAAAAAACGAATTTGAATTATTGATTTCTGTCTAGTGTTTGATAGAACACTAATAAATGTTATTGTCAATATACTTCAAATAAGCAACTATAATTTAAACATTTTTAACATAAACTGAGGTAAAACAGGTTTTTTTTTCCACTTAAAATTAGGAAACTTATTTCGTGAGCTAATTGTTCCAAAATTTAAAGATCAAGATTCTGATAGATTAGTGAAGTTAAACAGCAAGAATCAGCGTAATTGTTTAACTTCTCCAATAATCGTTATTCAGTGTGTTATTTTAACCTAAATTTCTAATAGGTATTGCACATTATCCTTAGTTTGCAAAGAAATTTACGATAATATTTAGTACAGTAATTGATAAATATTCTAAACCATAAATAAAATTTTAATAACATTTACTGAGCGAAATCAATATGTGTCTCTAAATAGTTTAGCATGCATGTTTACGACTAACAGAAGCGGCATGTAGTGTATAATAAACATTGATCAAATATTCATGTAAATTTACATTAAAAAGTGCTCTCTAAACTTTGAAAGTACACATAATTATTTTAAATGTATGTAAATTCTTCTTTATGTTTTTAATCTCTTCTACAAACCATTTTCACAGCCTTTTCAAATGTCATCGTATTTATACGAGAATTATATTTTTATCCGTAATACCTTTGCAAAAACTGAAACCTAAAGGTTCATTAAGTATTGCCATCTTTCTTTTTAATGACATTAGATTTCTCGCTTGTATTTTATGATATTATTCTGTTCGATACGTTTTAACTGCATTGGCTATGACTGCAGTGAGTTGTATACTCTTTTTTGCATTGCGTATCCATGGCAACGCGTAGACTTCGATAACGGAACTGAATTACGTATCATTTCGTCACGAATAGAACGATGCAAAGAAACTTCATGGGGGTCACTGGACTCCGGATGGTCCCAAAAACAACTTAAGCCTCTTCGAAGGTTCGAAAATCTCTGCCAAGTGTCCCAAAGCGCCTGCACCCGGCAGTGATGCTCTCAACCGCCATTGCTCTTGATGCTCTTTTCGAAGTCTGCCTCTGGTAATCCCTCTTCTCCAACTCTCATCCCCTTCATCATCTTCGTTAATCCTGCGGCAAACGGGAATAAAAATAGGATGGACACCGATCGGAGAAGTTGGGAAGGGTATGGGGTAAAAGACTGTTGGAATAAAAAATGGTACATGACTCGGAGAGGGACGAGATTTTGAACACGGCGAGGGGAAAACGACAGTACGCGCCATGTTTTCGGGATCGATATAGCACACTCGCTGGCGCGATCTCTTTCGTAATCTATGGCCGAGAGAGAAAACAGGCTTCGTACTTACTGAGACCTTCGAACTTCCTGATAATGCTGTCGACGAATGTTGTCTGTGGGGCAACGTGGCCCCTCCTCACTGGCATGTTGCCGCCGCCTTTGATCAGAAGGGGTCCAGCATATTCCTGGGGCGGCGCGGGAACCGTGGTCCCGAGCGCTGTCTGTGACGGACAGCCATCGGTTTCTGCGGGTGGCCACTGACTGGCGAGCCGCCCCTGCCTACCCTACTTTGGCGCTTCAGTGATTGCTGTGACAGCGCCATCTCCTGGGGGCCCGAGGTGACTCTCAACTGGTGGGTGGACACCGATGAAGATCCCACGCATGGAAACGTAAAAACTGGGTTTTGATTCTGAAGCGGGAAGTTCTGATTGCTAAAAGACTTCGAAATTCTAATCAAGTTATATTAAGTCACTTGACGGACATCTGAAGTTTTGAAGATTTTTTGTTATATTTATGGCAGTAAAATAGATAATTTTGTGTATCTTAGTTAATTGCATCTTTTCCTTGTGAAACGGTAAAAGATTTTGTTGCTCTAATGAATGACTTCAGATGACGAAGGGAAATAAATCCTATTTCTTTAACAAAAAAATTAGCGTAAAAAATTTACAGCAAGCACCTAGTTTTTAAGCATTTTCTAGTATAAGTTTCAAAGTAAAAAGACTGAGGAATAGAATGTTTGTCAGTCTCCGCCGTTAGAAACATCTATAACTTAATATTTGATTTTTTTACAATTACTTTATGTCATGATACGAAGGCTTTTACTATCTACACGACTTCGAAAGCCCAAACTTTGCAAGAGGTATATGATCGTGTCTATTCACTCTAGGGAACTGAGAGATGTTTCCACTTCACCTGGCATAAGATCTTTAATTCATCCTGCAGATTAATATTAGACATTACTCAAATAACTAAGAGCTTTAAATGCAATATATGTGATTCTTATCAATTTATAAGTTTATTCTTTTAGTAATATCTCTATTTGATGTACTTTATAAGGCATTTTATGCATACAATTTATAACTATTTAGTTGATAACTTTTATAAACATAAAAATTACTATAAATTAATTAAACGTGTTTCTAGCTCCATGCATTACGCGTATCGCTATAGAATAACTTATGTTATACCCGCGTTAGATTTATTGTACAAATTATTCTAACTCTATGATTAATTTATATAATGATGTACAAAACAAGTTTTTTTGTTAGTTTCATGAGTTACTTTTAATACAAACTGGAAAAAAAAAAAAAAAAAAAAAAAAAAAAAAAAATTTTCCCCCTTGCCTATTTTTTCCATAGATTTAAAAGCCTCATTATTAAAATATGTAAGTGACATAAAAATATATTTTCCTTAATTAATAAATTACATATATTTTAGAAAATCTGTAAAAATTCCTATTATAAAATTCAAAGGAATTGATAAGTCGCAGATGACTTAAAATTCTTGTGTTTTTTAACATTTTAATTGCCAATTCATTATTATATCTTGTTAATTATTAAAAATTGATTATTCATTTCTTAATTTTTTATGTTTAATAAATTCAACATTAATGTGAAAACGACTTACAAAATACCTAGAGGGACCGGTTTTTAAGCCTTGCTTCTAGCATTAAAATGTGTGAAATTTTAAATATATATGTATATATTTCATATTTCCTCTTAAGAATAGAGTCCGGCTAAAAATCAAAATCAAGTAACTAAAATAACCATCTTTGTGTCAACTTGTAATAAATCAATAAGCTTTCGAAGCGAGAAAAGTGAAAAATCAACTGTGCTCTTGCCTGGATTTGAACCGCAGATTTTTCCATTTACTAGGCAGAAATACTAACCACTTACACCGCTAGAGCACGCATGGAGGAATGCGATAATTCCTTTACGTTTTCCCCATGCAAAGGACAATAGAAGAGAGGCAGGAGAGCCAGTTGACCAACTCCAGGTGGTAATTATCATCCACTACATTTTAATTCCAACGCTACTATAGCGGCAATAAGGATTTTTTTGCAGCAAGTTAGCATGCAAATTTAACTCTGCCCTTGACCGGACTCAAGCCTCGCACTTCCTATGCCAAGCTGAACAAGCTCCACAAAAGCTTGCAAGAGGGGGGATGCGATAAATTCCACATAGATTTAAGCGTTAACAGCTCAGAATTTCTCTATCATTAACTTCAAGACAAAATCCTCAATTCATTTCGAGTGACAAAAGATACACCTCCTTTCTTCAGAAACAAATTTATTTGAGCTAATGATAAATTATATGTCAATTACATTAAGACACTGTATCTCATTCAACGCACTGAAAACCTTATCAGAGGAATGGCTAACTAAACTAAGTCTTTTTCATGCGCTAACTGTTCGGCTAGTAAGTTAAAAAGATTATGCCGCTGCAGGTGCCGTATATGGTGTCTTCTTAATCTTAATACGTAAACAATATTGAAAAGCCTTTCCTGTATCAATGAATCCTAAATCGTTTAAAATTAGTAAAACTTTGTGTTATGAAATCAAATGCAAAACAGTTAAAAATTCTCATAGTTTTTAAAAATTTTAAGAATTAATTTTTATCACTAAGAAACTAATGTTTATATTCTGGATTTCTTAATTATATTAAATTAAGCTTTAGTGCGGAAAGTGATTGCAAAAAATATTTACGAGGCGCAGGTTTTAGGGTTGCCTCCTCAAATGTCAAAGTCTACTAAAATGTCTCTGGTACTTACTTACACGTATTTATTACAAAATTTCATACTTCTTGCTACAAATTAAATTTAATCCAAAAATTGAATTAAATATACACAGACAATTTTTTTGAGTAGAAAACAACAAGAATCATTTATGCCTCTGCCGGGATTCGAACCACGTACTTTATAATTGTTTTGTATCCTGCCACGGATGTAGTATGTATTTCTAATTGCCACGTTTATTGAGACGTGCTATCCACACAACGTGCTTTACATCACAACAGCACGTATGGGGATATGCGATAATTGCTGTTAAAGTAATTATTAATAAAGTCACTTTAAATCAAAATGTATTTAGCTTTAATATTAGCCCAGAGCTCTAAATCCATTTCGAAAGGCAAAAGAAACAGGCTTCCTTCTATAGCAGTAAACTACACTTCAACAAAGATTTTAAGCTCCCATTGCAAATTTCCGGGTGTCAAGATAAATAATTTAACTGTCACTGTATCCTATTTCAACGCGTTGCGATCTTTACTAGAAGTATAGCCAAATAAACTATATTTTAATTATGTAGTTATTAAATTAAAATCTGAGGTTACAGCTCAATCATCTCTTTTCGTTTGACTACTTACCCAGTTCACTGACATATTATCACAGATAAAAATTGGTCGCAAGATTTCAACGCGGTCTTCTCCATTAACTGCTTTATCTTTATATCGAGTCGCGCTTTGCGCTTTTTTTTTTTTTTTTTTGTTTTTTTTTTTTTTTTTTTTTTTTTTAGTCCAAAGGGATTTGAATCCCAGGACTATTATTTCGTTTTGGCTTTTTGCGTCGACGGATAAATGTCGGTTCACTTTTCAAACTGTTGCCACAAAAGTTAGAGTCTGCATTATATTTGAAAGAAATTAAATAATGAAAATCTGCGTAAATGTAGGTATATTTCTCACTTGTCATAAAAAACGGTACATAGAGTCATCGAATTTTGAATAACGTAATCCTCCAACGAATATGAGCATGTGGAAGACCAAAATTTGAATTTGTTTTATGATCGATTTCCTATTTTTAAAACTTTGACGAAATTTTGATTAACAAACTCAACGATTTAAAAGCGAGCAATGGCAGCAATCTACGGTGGGGGGTGGGGGGGGTGGAGTTTTATCTTCAAAGCGCGGAACTGTGTATCGGAAGTTCTAAAGATATGCTCATTTAAAATTTTTTTTGCGACATTGCCTCTTGAACTGAATTTTATGGCTTAAGAGCAAAAAACATGATATTTAATAAATAAAGGTAACGCACAAAACCTTAAAAAAAAGGCCCCATTGGACGTAATTTAAAATCTAGTTTTAGAAAAATTAGCACAATCGATCAGGTCATCTGAATGAATAATAAAACGTACACGATAACTATTGCCCAAACACGCCTTCGTGGAGGGCGTATTAAGACTCTTTTATTCAATTATCAGGCCATTGTAGAGACATTAGATTATTTTTTTTTCATTAAATTTGCATTCAGAATATTACAAAATAATGTTGATATTTTTTTAATGTTAAATGTGATTTTAATTGGATATTTTGTACTTGAAAATGCAGCGTCTTCGTTGAGTGTGTGGCAATGACTCTGCTATTAGTTCTGCCACAACTCGCCAGGCGACATCAGTCAAAATATACCAAATAGAAGATATAGGCACCCGTTTTCTTTTAAACAACGTGAGTTTTAAAATATCATCCGAAAACTAAGAATGCGTAAAGGCAGTGGAGATCTGAATTTGATGCTCTTCCAGAATCATGCGCCATTACGTTACAAGCACAAGAAGGATGAAACTGTGAGTGATCTTAATAAAGGAGGATGCAGAAATAAGAAAAAAAGCAATGAATGAAGTGTGGGAACATTATACTCTGCAAAGTCACGTACACCGGATCATATGAGAAACACTACTGAGACTATTTGAATCGTAAGATGTAAAAAGCGGCTATGTAACAAAAGTCAAATTTTACAACAATAAACTATCCCATTCCTCACAAGAATATCGAAAGATGTTTGAAAAACGCTGAATTACATGGATTGTAGTTACATCGATCTCATTGTTTTTTTATTGTTGAATTCTGACATTTTTGTAAAAAATGGGATAGTTTTTTTTTTTTCAACCTTAAAGGGCGTTAACCCAGAAGGACAATTAATTTCGTTTTGGCAATTTGCGTTGAAAACTTCAAATGTAAATTCAAATTGTTGCCGCCAAATATTATCGCCCTGTGTTATATTTAAAGACATAATGAAGAATCTGCATAAATGTATGTATGTTGCTCGCATTGTGATAAAACAACGGTACTTAGAGCCATCGAATTTTGAATAACGTACGTTTCCATCCGAATATGGTCATCTGGAATCCCTAATTTGGAGTTTGAAATTTGTTTTATTATCGATTACATATTTTGTAAAACTTTAATTAATTTTTGATGAACACACTCAAAGATTTCAAAGCAAGCATTGGCAACTTCGTACAGAAAAAACAATTTTATCTCCAG